AGTGAGTGAGTGAGTGAGTGAGTGAGTGCGTGAGTGAGTGAGTGAGTGAGTATGGTTTTACGCCGCTTTTAGCAATATTGCGCCCCTGTGTCGGGGGAAGAGTGAGTGAGTGAGTGAGTGAGTGAGTGAGTATGGTTTTACGCCGCTTTTAGCAATATTCCGCCCCTGTGTCGGGGGAAGAGTGAGTGAGTGAGTGAGTGAGTGAGTATGGTTTTACGCCGCTTTTAGCAATATTGCGCCCCTGTGTCGGGGGAAGAGTGAGTGAGTGAGTGAGTGAGTGAGTGAGTGAGTGAGTGCGTGAGTGAGTGAGTATAGTTTTACGCCGCTTTTAGCAATATTGCGCCCCTGTGTCGGGGGAAGAGTGAGTGAGTGAGTGAGTGAGTGAGTGAGTGAGTGAGTGAGTGAGTGAGTGAGTGAGTGCGTGAGTGAGTGAGTATGGTTTTACGCCGCTTTTAGCAATATTCCAGATATATCACGGCGGGGGACACCAGAACACGGGGGAAGAGCTATTAGCGTTACCTTGAATGTAACCTTGAACAAACAACTTCAGGGTAAGATTCGTATGACGCTCTTTGGAATCTTGGTAAAAAGAGCATGCTCAATTGTATCTCAAAAGTTGCGAAATGTAGACACCAAGGGCTGTAAACACCGTAACACTGTTATCCTTTGACAAACATTCATATATTTTGAGAATAGGTTTGCAACTTTCAATTACTCGTGGAGTTTCAAAGCCGACCTGCAAGAGTGGCGTTTCAATATCGACCTGCAATAATAATGTTAACGGCTGTGCACCGCACACCCTATTCATTCACGGAATTCCCCGCTGAAGTGCCAACCAATCAGGTGCTTCAAAACAGATGACGTCACCTGTGTGCCGCGAAAGCTGACAGACAAATAAATGGAATTGTAATGTTACTGACTACTGCTATGAACCGGTTTTACGTTTTGATTCAATCATCCTTCGATGTATTAGCATTGCCATTTAAACTGTTTGCGAGGATATTACACAAGCAGTAAACCATTTTATTCAATGTTTACAATCTGATTGTTTTCAAAAAACATACACCAAGGCCTGGAGATATGGATGAGTTGGTGTTTCATTTGTATCATAAGATACTCCAAGGCCTGGAGATATTGGTGAGTTGGTGTTTCATTTGCATCATAAGATACTCCAAGGCCTGGAGATATGGGTGAATTGGTGTTTCATTTGTATCATAAGATACTCCAAGGCCTGGAGATATTGGTGAGTTGGTGTTTCATTTGTATCATAAGATACTCCAAGGCCTGGAGATATGGGTGAATTGGTGTTTCATTTGTATCATAAGATACTCCAAGGCCTGGAGATATTGGTGAGTTGGTGTTTCATTTGTATCATAAGATACTCCAAGGCCTGGAGATATTGGTGAGTTGGTGTTTCATTTGTATCATAAGATACTCCAAGGCCTGGAGATATGGGTGAGTTGGTGTTTCATTTGTATCATAAGATACTCAAAGGCCTTGATTAAGTGAGTGAATTGTTTCATTTGTATCACAGTATACTTCAAGGCCTTGACTAAGTGAGTGAGTGGTTTCATTTTTATCATAAGATACTCCAAGGCCTTGAGTGAGTGAGTTGTTTCATTTGTATCATAAGATACTCAAAGGCCTTGATTAAGTGAATGAATTGTTTCATTTGTATCACAGTATACTTCAAGGCCTTGAGTAAGCAAGTGAGTTGTTTCATTTGTATCACAAGATACTCAAAGGCCTTGAGTGCGTGGGTTGTTTGATCTGTATCACAATATACTAAGTACTTCAAGGCCTGATTGAGTGATTGAATTGTTTCATTTGTTTCATAAGATACTCCAAGGCCTTGAGTGCGTGTTTTTTTAAATATATATTTGTATTACAATATACTAAGTACGCCAAGGCCTAGAGTGAGTGAGTGAGTTGTTGTTTGATTTGTATTTAATAATTTGTATTTAATATTTTTACAATGTCATATTAATTCGTTGTACACTCGGGATACATGCGGCTCGTGGTACAAAGCCCAAGGTTTAACGCATGCAACCCCATGTACCCATCGTAACCCTGCTATAACTTATAATGCTTATCCCACAGGGGGGGGGGGGGGGGGTATGCTGCTTGTGGTGTTTTGAACCAGCGCTGATCGATCCATAAGCACCTGTCACATCCATACACTAACTTGCAAAGCTATGCTTCATGGTCGAGCACCCGAGCGGCTTTCGATTCGTGACGTCCGGAGGATCAAAATACATTAACAATAGTGAATAGTTACACGATCCCAACAATTCCCCAGAATACTTGTTGTGACACTATATGACAGGTCCCAGGCCGGTGGTCTGAAGCGGTCGGGTAGCCTAGTGCAGTGGTTAAAGCGTTCGCTCGTCACGCCGAAGACCCGGGTTCGATTCCCGACATGGGTACAATGTATGAAGCCCATTTCTGGTGTCCTCCGCCGTGATATTGCTGGATTATTGCTGAATGCGGCGTTAAATCAAACTCACTCACTCACTCACTCACTCTTCTGACCTCACGTCTGTCGCTCAATAACATTGCTGTACACCCCACAACGTCAGGGCTTTTCTTTGAAAAAAAGCCGTTATTCGTGATATCATATTATAGTGAGTGAGTGAGTGAGTTGGGTTTAACGCCGCTTTTAACAGTATTCCAGTTATATCACGGCGTGTCTGCTTAATGTGGGATGAAAGCCCGAAGTGATGCAGGTCCCAGACGTTTACCACTTCGGTGAAACCCACGAGCATGGGTATGGTGCTGACAAACCTAGAAACATAATCGGGGCGAACCGGGATTCGAACCCACAATCATAGGATTCTGGCGTGCCCAAGGGACGCAACTCTGCACAGCGAATCGCGGCGCCTTAGACGACTGGGCCACCTGGGCCACCCGTGCCCCCCTATAATAGTAAAACAAAGGGTACACTGTTAACGACAACATAACTTAAGGATTGACTGTGTATATTTGTTTCCGTTTCATTGAGGTATGAATCGAAAAACCGATGTGCAAACTGTATGAATCCGCGTAGCAAACTGAATGAACGGAAAAAAATGCACAGTCAATGCTTATAATTAAATTCAACAACGAAAACATACAATAGTTTAACCTAAAACAGTTGTTTATATCAAAGCAGTGAAAAAAGACGAGATTGATATACATTCCAGGTGTTGGAATACATACTGTGACGTGACATGAACCAGGTGATTTGTTAATTTATTCACATATCTTGACACGCCTACAAAGTCAGTAGCCAATCAACGGAGAATAAGATCAAAACAATGTTCATAGGACCTGTCAATCAAGGCCAGAGGCAAGAAGAATTGCAACAACCAGACTGTAAGGAAAAGGAACAAATATGTCGGGGAGAAGGCTGCTGTTTCAAATGACATGGTCAGTTGCCGCCAGATTCGAACATTAGCTCCCTGAGAACGGGAAGACACAGTTTGACAGATGCTACTTAGAAATGAAACCCAAAGACATGAAGGTTGTGGAACCAAGGCGAGCGGGAAAAATAACAGTCGAGCGAGCCTGCACGTTTGCTGTTTCATTCCTTCTCGGCTTTCGATCTCAAAGGGTAGTTTGGACAATGAATGAATGCATGCATGAATTTCGCTACATGCCTTATGCATGACGATACTCGTGAGCAGAAAGGGAATTCCATCGACTGTAATATTGGGATCCCCGACATTCAGTAGTAATAAAAGAAGTCCGCTTCGGTGGGCGTGGCTTAATTTTTTATATTCATTGACTAATTCAGCTAATCAGAATGCAGGAATTTCAATGAACACAAGGAAAATTTAATTATCACATCTTAAACACAATTGATATAGTACTCTTGTATCCATTAGCATCACGTATGGGATGAGACAGGGCGTTGAGAAATTAGATGTATCATGCGTTCATGTAACGTATTCATATACAAATTGCGCGTTTGTTAAGGTCAAATACAATCTCCCAACTGAAAGATGCTCCATCTTTCCCGGATGAGTTTGTAATCTTTGTATAACAATATGTAAATAAAAGAGAGAGAAAAAACTCCATAGCCTTCAGAATTAAGACTTCTTTGTACAACTTCGACAATATCATAAGCATGTGTTTAGGAATCACAACCCGTGAAGATCCGGGTTAAAATAAGTCTTCAGCAACCCATGCTTGCCGTAAAAGGCGACTATGCTTGTCGTAAAAGGCGACTAACGGGATCGGGTGGTCAGGCTCGCTGACTTGGTTGATGCATGTCATCGTATCCCAATTGCGTCGATCGATGCTGATGATGTCAATCACTGGATTGTCTGGTCAAGACTCGATTATTTACAGCTGTCATATAGTTCGGCGTAAATGAATGTGTTGTCCTGATCATACAATTACATCAGTTGTGGTGCTTGCGTTTTTCATGGAGTATTATTTTGTCAATGTTTGACACTTGAATCCAAATATGAATCTTTGACTTAGAACTATGGATACTCGGTGACTGCCTGTATAAACACTGGTCAGCTCTGTGCTTGTTTTTGCTCGGACTGCTGTTGGTCTTAGGGTGCTAAGTCTCGTAGAAACCATGCCGCAGTTTGAACATGAATACCCCACTCAGACACAGTAAACGGACTCCGAGCCCACCATCTTTAAACGTAATTTGGTATGACGCGGCCAGATGTATGACGGCGGCCTAGAAATGATCGAATCTGGACCCGACAAACCAGTGACTTCGGGTATAATTATCCGCCTGACCACACATGCAAGTCTCCTCTTACAACAAGCATAGCTTCCTGGGGACAAACGAACGGGTCGTATTTCCTCTTAGCTCGCTAGATTTTCTCAGATTCTCTCAACTGTACGCAACAGCGGCCATGATGACTGAGAAACAACAGGACTAGAGTGATCTTTTTGGAGAGTCTGAAGTGCACATAGCGCAGCCACTTGGACTACCAACTGCTGACTCTTGCTGGACAGTTCTGTTGAAAATGAAAATAACTTTGGGTTTTGGTCATTATTCTTTATTTAATTTCCAATGCATATCACGTGTCCTTTGATCAAAACAAAAACAAGTAAGTCATGCCTACACCTTTATTCTAGAGTGAGTAAACATTTAACGTTGCGTCAGCAATGTTTTAGTCATAATGCATGAAAGTTTTGTAAGAAAACATGTCATGAATACATAGAGAGATATAAACGTATACATGAACAACTTGTCAAACATACTTTACGCAAACCTAACGTGTATAATTGAACATAAAATGGTTATATGCCAGCAGCAACTAAGGCCAGACTACCTTACTGTAGACCATGGTCCCGTCAGCTTCATACAGGATGTACGTCATCACTTAAACATACAGGTGGTTTTGTACAATACAATAATACAAATGCTCAAAGATTGATTTGATCTAAAACACTGGGTGATCATACTTACTTTTATTACGATAGATACAGGAAGACGTGTCAAACAGTTAACACTGATCCTTTACTTATCCTGTTTTAGCATCAAACCAAATTCAAACTGCCAATGTCAGAGAATATTCAGTTTTGGTTATCTTCCAAACAGATTCAGTAGGGCTTAAAAGGAAAAATAGAGATGAAAATTATATTTATTGATCACTGAAAATCAGTGATGACACCAGGTGTTCGCGCAAAGGTAAGGATGTCATGCTCTACCGCCAACAACCAACACTTACGTCAATAGAGTAAGTATTTGTTTGTTGCCACATTCAGCAGTACGCCTGCCAGATGGTGGCGACTTGTAATAAAAGCGACTAAACCCTTTCTATATCCAAAAGAAATTTCTGCCTAAATCAGACCCGATTGTACCATTCTGACTATCCCGAGTATGTGTTTATGGATCCTGCTCCATTAGTGGCACCGATGCAGAAACACATGCAAAGGCAAGTCAATTGTTCACTTGAAAACGACACAACTTCTAAAAGGTTAACCGAGGCCTTAAATACTGTAGCCTTGATCAAATAACTTTTGAGCTAGAGACAATCGAGTCTATGATTAATCTATTACAATCGAGTCTGGATCAGACAGTTCTTTGGGGTACAATACTATGCAAAAGACAAAGGATCATTAATTCAAACATATTTAAGGTTGTTTTTCTATTTCTATCAGATATTTCAAGATGAGATGCTGGCTCACAGGGAGAAATAAATCATTTAGTTGTGTGGTTGATGAGATTCCCTTACGATTTCATGGTTCATGCAAAAACTTTCATCACAAAGGATACATGTAAGATATTCATCCTCATCGGTTTTTAGCAGAACCGAAGTTAAAAATACGACATGCTCGTAAAATTATTATATATTTGGCCAGCGCAAACAGGTATGAGCCATTGTATAAATTCAGTAATACATGTAGCGATATCTTCTTGAGTGTAGCGCCTAAAGTTAACGTTAATGATTGTGGGTACAAAATCAGTGTAAGAGTTAAGATGTTGAGATACAGGTTTATCAAGAGCTACTCTTTTTCAGCTTCTGTGATGTGTTGTGGTGATACCAGGTTAGGTTGATTTTTAAATAGGTCATCCCAGAGAAAGTTGAAAAGGCAATCACATCGTTGGTTTACATAATAACACAATACAACCTCAACACGAAATAGTCTTGCTGAGAGCCAGAACTCGTTGTCATTTAAGGTAATAAAGCTAATATTAACGATGCATAGAAATATATAGGACATTTTAAGAAGTGTCAAAGACCAGGCTTAAAAACAATCATTAATGAGAAAATTGCGCAAACTCTTAAAATAGTAATAATACAACACATAACGTGCTTGTAGTTACACAAATATAATGAATATCGCACAAAAGGCATACAAAATGCCAAAGTGTAAGCGAGTGACATACAGTTTTACATTCTAGTATTTCTGTGCAATGGCAGTGGTAACAAATTAGTCATCATATTAGTCGTTATAGGTCTTTAAAATGGTTACAGACATGTCACAGATTCATAAAACAAATAACTATAATAATAAGATAACAATGTGAACAACATAACTTGTTACATATTTCATAAATAACATTTAAGACTGCAGAATCCAGGAGACTGAAGCTAGACAACCAGTGAAGTGTTGATTGTGGATACATGCAGTATTTCTCCTTTGTGCCCGAGACTGCAACATCAGGCTATTCAAGTTTCAAGCGGGGATGTCAAACATATTCATTCTAGAAGGGTTCTCTCTATGATATTAACTTGTTCAACACAGGATTCGCATCCCACGTGGATATTTCAGGAATTATTGCAACATTTGATCCTTTTGTCTAAAACTACAGGAAACAATGCATCTAAACTAACGGAGTCCACACAATAAACATCCAAACCACATGTACATATATTATGCATTGCAAGAAATATACTTGGCATCGTGTCTTGGGCCAAGTTAGCTAACTCAATCACACATTCTTGGGCCAAAGTACATATAAAATATGATAATGACGGCAGTCACAAGTCTTCACGAACGAACATATGTACAGTGCTAATTAACATCTGATCAACACGTTAACGGCACATTCTAGTGGCTCCACAATTTCTCTGATCATCAATGCAAACCTTAAGGATCATTGACCTTAAGGTTTCAGAAGAAATGCTTAAGATGTAAAACTATATGTAATCTCATCGAACTTAAAGTCCATTTAAAGTTAGAATAGATTGTAATATTTACAAATAATCAGAGATAATGTAACCCATGTTATATTTGGGATAACACTTTCTTAGTAAAGTACAGATTCTAGTACTTTTTTGGGTTGAGTCCCGTCCGGGATTCGAACCCACACCTGCCAGGGTTAGGCATATATTGTAATATTTACAACTGAACAGAGATATTGTTTCCAGCAAACTTTTTAAATTATATTGATTTTTTTGTGAATTTGGTTAGGGTCAACTCCAGATAACCCAGCAGTGTCCTTATAACTAAGTTCATTATACCCAAAACCCAAAAGTTTTAACTCAGGATACTGTGTCAGTGTTTAACATGTACACAAACAGTATACTCACTCACCCAATCCTTAGTTTTTGTCACGTCAATGATGAGCGTATAGCAGGGTAAAAACAAGTACAATCTTTTAACGTCTTTAAGGGGATCGAACCACAGACCCTCTGCTGTCTTGGCAGACTAGACCACGGGACATTCGTTATGATGAAACGTCACAGATTTTTCTCTCTGGTGAACATCATAACACTTTGGTTATCAGATTAGCCTGGGTGCTTCTTCAAAGATCAGTCTTATGCTGAGAATGCGACGACTTGGTGATATATTTGAAGCATTTGTGTGACAGCAACAGTACAAGACCTATTGATAATACAGCAACGGTATGAATGATAATACATATAGTATTATAGATATTGTCATCAGTGGTTCGTTCAAGATCAATTCAACAAAGAGGTTCGCACACACAACTTTCAGTATTTGAAGTTTACACCGTCTGACACGACTCAGTGGAGGGAAATGCGCCTCAAGAACCTTGCCTGTGAGAATGTTGCAGCGTGCATAGGCATAGTCTACTGCTCTGAATGAATACTTGTTCTGCATGTCCAAGAGATTCGCAGTATTCATCAGATACAGTGCACAGAAAAGGCGACCTCGCCAGGCTGCATAGTGAAGAGGTGTATTGCCTTTCTGATCCTGAATATTTGCATCACCTCCTTTGGACATAAGGTCTTTCAGAACAGTGGTGTTGCCTGTCTCACAAGCCAAATGTACTGGACTTCTACCTGCAACATCCTTGCTGTTTACATCACACTCATGCCTCAACAGCAGTTTTACTGCATCTGTGTGATTGCTTTTCACAGCCACGTGTAATGGAGTTGACCTATCCTTGTGAGATCTTGGATTGATGAAACAATTGTTACTGTCCAGTAATACTTTCAACATACCAACATGGCCATGTTTAGCTGCAAGATGCAAAGGGGCAACACCATCACTATTAAATGCGTTGACATCGACTCCCCTTTGAATAAGTTCCTCGGCAACATCAGGAGCACACGAGTGTTTCAAAATGGTTATAGTGGGCACTTTAACTGAATCCAGAGAAAGAAGACTAAGCATGTCCATGATAAGGCCATAGGTCTCGACCATGTTTGGGTTTTCACAGCAGCAGTGTAGAAGGTTTCCACCCACAATTGTAACAAATGGATCCTCTCCTTGATCTAGAATATTGACCATAATGTTCTTTTGACCTGTGAACACACTGAGTGCCAGGGCTGATATGGTAGTTTGTGGAAGAAACCGTTCCATCATTTTGCTGATCTGAAGGAGGCAGAGTAATACATTTCTAAATCTTCCATCTGGAGCTTCCAGCTGAAGAAATTCAAGACACTTTGGAAATGACAATTCCATTTTGAGACGTGTATCTGCACCCCTGTGAAGCAGAAACACAGCTGCATCTGGACAAAAAAAAAGAATGGATATGATGAATGGAGTACGCCCCAGTACGTCCATAGCATGGATATCTGCTCCATGGTCCACTAAGGTTTTCAACACTTCTAACTGGCTTCCAATTGCTGCTTGAATTAGTGGTGTATTTCCAACCTGACTTCTGGCATCAATATCACAGCCTAATTTCAGAAGACATTTGACAGTATCAATGTGACCATTCTGACTTGCCAAGTGTAGACATGTGACACCAGCATTGTTAGATGTGTGCACACTACACCCAGTTTTGTGCAGCAATTCTACTACTTCAGTGTGTCCTCTTTCAGCAGCTTTAAAGATTGCATGACTTCCGCGTTTGTTTTTTGCACTGAGGTTGCACCCTTTCTCCACCAGAATCTCAACAATATCAGATAAACCTGTGTAACAAGCACAATGAAGTGCCGTCAATGCCATTGACTCTGTCTTAGTAAAATCAGCCCCCTTTCGCAGAAGCTCCTTTGACGTCTCAAGATGTCCACCAAGTAATGCTTTATGAAGGGCTGTTTCCATCTTATTATTGTTCTGATCCACATCCTTAACGCGATCTATCAACAGCTTTATGAGTTCAGTATTGCCTTGTTCTGCAGCTAGATGCATAGCACTGTCTCCATGTAAGTTCCTCCAATCTATGCTTTGATAAGTAAGGACTACCCTGCAGACGTCAGTGTGTCTATTCCTGGCAGCAGCTATAAGAAATGTTTCACCTTCTTTATTCCTTACATTTGATAAACTGTTCTGGTTCGATGAAAGGAGATAACTGGCTCCATTGCTATTTCCAAACTCACAGCAACCAAACAAAGCATTTACCAAGTTAACTTTAGATATACGGAACCTTCCCAGGAGCGCTTCTAAAAACACATTTTTCTTGTTGCTAGATGCCAGATACAAGCAGGACTCGCCTGTGGCTGCATCAACCTGCTCTGGCAAATCGTTCGAAATCTCGGAACAATTGAGCAAATTCACTACAAACTCCTTCCACTGCAGAAGGACATGCGAGAGCACTTGTTTCATGCTTCCCTGGGAAAGCTCCTTTGCAAATCTATCAATGACAATGGGCAGAATGGTATCCGTGACATCCACATGCTTCTCATCAGGCTCATTTCCATGTCTGAGGATGTCCTTCAACACGCTCATGTCGCAATGGTTTATTAACAACTCAGGGTAGTCACATCCGAGATTCACAGCTACGCTATGAAGTACTGAAGGGTGGGAAAACTTTATCCTGTCTTCCTCTCTCTGAAGATACGGCCCTTCCAACACTTTACATGTCCTCTGGAAAGTATGAACATCAACGGCACCCATCATGTGATCAGGAAACAAACCCTTTCCAGCATCTTGTAACTGTTTTGTTGTCTTATAAAGTAGCATGTCCCCTCCCTGTTTAAGAAGTAGACAGAAGACGTGGCGTTTTACAGCATCATCACACAACTGTTTGATTGTCTCCTTCAAGAAGATGAGTGGCTCTCTCATAAATGCCTCGGCGTCCTCTCTCGTTTCTTGCAGGGTAAACATCAGTTCTGCACAATGTGGAAAACCATGCGGACTTGGAACAGTGATAATTCTTTCAATGACATCTTTCGAAAGCTCTACGCCATATTTGCTTGTCATGGCATTAATGATTTGGAGCTTATCCTCAAGCTTTAGCATAGCTTCAACAGATGAATTGATATCAATAATATTGACCTTCTGGAAAATATTGTTGATGAACTTTCCTAATTTGTACTCTGCTTCTCTCCATATATAGTCTCTGCTTACAATGATGTACTTCACACTGTTTGTTTTCACTGCATTTACGTCAGAACTTTTGAAATCATGGGATCTTATGTCATCAAAAGCTTGAAGCCATCCTTTCAAACAAAACTCATCATATTCAAATACCCCGAAAATATCATTCAACAAAACAATCGTCCGTCCTACCATCTTGTGAGAAAAATATTCTTGTGGCGTTTTTGGAATGAACGTGTGCCACCTCTTTTTCAAAAAGTCGTCCATTACCATATATCCTGTTGTCGTCTTTCCCTCGCCAGGGCTTCCTATGATGATGGTAACTGGGTGTTTCAGGACATGTTCTTTTACCACAGAGCACACAGTAGTCCAGACCTTATGTTGACTGTGCCTGTTAACTTCATTGTCCCACTCTGCAATAAGATGAAGTCATGCACAAAATGATGACGGTGTAAACAGTAGCACCTTGTGTACTATAATTGTACATTTTGTACCACTGTCCTTATTTTAACTATTTGATCATAATGATCAGCTTATGACTTTTGCCATCGATGGCGTTTCATTTCTGAGTCATGATTTGGAAAGTTAAAAAAAGCTGTTTCAAAGTAGAAAGGTTGTTTGCATTATTTGAACAGCCACCCTTGCTTAACGGTTGACATACATAACGTTTCTATTTTCTAGGATATTAATAGACGTGATATTTGTTCCATTTTACTTCAAGAGATACCATATTTTAATCTGACAGCAGCAAACTTAACTAACTGTGGAGCCTTAGATCCCTGGGCCAACTATTCCCTCATTGTATAGCCCCTTGTGATACCAGGTTAGAATAGGTTTCTAGTAAACTATGCTGGTCAAAAGAGGCGTTTAACTGAATCGGGTGGTCAGGGTCATTGACTTGGTCATGTGCGGGTCATCGTACCCCGGCACCGTGGATTGCTATCCACAGCATCAATCACTGGATTGCCTGGTCCAGGATCGATTATTTATAGGCAAATATGCTGCGCGCGGCATCAAACAAACAACAAATATGAAATGTATAGAATTTGCTGGACATTGGGACTGGAATTGCAGTCCTTGGTAGAATGAAATATTGCTCTCTCTAGTCCTTTTCTTCAACTTCACAACGCTAAGTTCCACAATACGTCTTTGTTTTCTGCTATGGCGTCAAGCAATAACGACATTAATGATTCATGGCCAATTAGTGATAAGGGCGAACATCATAGAGGTACGATGACATGAATCTTCCATGTCAGCGATGCTGATCACCTCATCACGCCATTAACCTCTCACGACAAGCGTTGTAAAACACAAACTTTACCGGATCTTCACGAGGCCTTACGTACAATGTACATCGGATAATTACTGTTAATTATCAAGGCATACAAACGCAAAGTTATCTTATCACACACATTCACATAGTTTGAATCAGTATTGGCAAAGATCAGATCTTACCATTTGCAGGTGAAGCATACTTATGTATGACCTGGGTTCCACCGACACACACGTTCCCTTCTTCCTCGTCATCGCGTCCTTCTGGTCCACCTGAAACATTGTATTCAATGACTGGGTGAATGTTGTTTGACGTTTCGGAATGTTCGAATCTGGACCACACAAACCGGCACATCGAAAACCTGATCAAACAAGCACACGTTATATAGCATACAATGAATCAATAGGTCACCAAGCCTGACTGATTAATCTCTCTATGACAAGGGGGGAGGGGCTTTGTAATTTCAACGCAGACTCATCAGGCTAAAACCACGAGTTCAACTGAAAACATGGGAACATTGTGTGAAACTCATTAGTTGTCTTCCCAGTCGTGGAGTTCTTTCAAAATAAGTTCTTTTTCATGGGAGATAATGAAAATGTGTGTATTATTTCTTTTCTAAGTTTGGAACTTATATATTTTTCTGTTTCAAAATCTGTAAATTGTTTTAATTTGAAACCTCATCTTGAAAGTTGTACGTATTTAATCTCCGATCTGAAAACACACTAGGTTTGTCTCTGAAATCTAAACACAAAAAAACACAAGTAAATTCAATGGTGAATGTGTAGGTGAGTGAGTGAGTGAATGCGTGCGTGGGTGCGTGCGTGCGTGCGTGCGTGCGTGCGTGCGTGCGTGCGTGCGTGCGTGTTTTTTAACAAGTTCTATTCCTGCTATATGACGGTGTGTAAGTAATCGAATCTGGACAAGACAGTCCAGTGATTGACATCATGAGCATCGATCTTCGTATTTGAGATACTATAATATGTATCAACCAAGTCTTACCACTAGAAGGAACATTGTCACCTCTCAGATGTATGAATGTATATTATGTTCTCATTGCTTGGCCGACGTTAGTTAAAACGGTAGCATGTTCGACGTCAGGCAGCACAGACTGGAGCTCAAAATGAGGTTTAGTAGGCAGGTAGCATATTTAGTTTTTATCCATTGTATTATACGCAAAAGTCGCTTTACTGCCAATATGGCCGGAGATAGTTATATACTTAAATGCTAACCGTTAACCACCGCTATGACACTTTCAGTTCAAAGCACACCAGGCATATGTCTTTCGAATCAGGTTTTAGCTGCACATATCTCTGACACCCAGCTGAAGTTGAACTGCTAGCTAAAGCTCTATATTCAATAGGCTGTGCACAACGAGACGTGCGGGTACACAAACTGCTGAATGACGTGTCACTTTGACATTAGGATCTCATTGAATTCACTCACCACGGTAACATGATATGTACTGAAGCTTAATAGCGTGCCTCGTTGAGCAACAGCGCGAATCGAAGATTTGACCACGTACAACATGTCATATTATACACAACAATAGCCAAACGAAATTAATGCTTGCCATTAATGCTACAGATACGTATCCAAAAGTCAGCTGCATGAATGAAAGCAACAAAGACCATTTCCATAATCAGAAAGATGTTTAAAGCCATTGTACTATTCGAGTTTATAACAAGCATGTGTTTATGAATCACTATCAAATAGTGATGATACCAGGGGTTCGCGGTAAGATGAGCGTATCCTCGAATTTTTGTCACTGCTTCTTGAATGTTGTAGCATTGAAGAAACTATCGGCATGCAGAAAACTCATCAACTACCAGAGTGAATCTAAGCAATTCGCACAATAACCGTAATTTAATGTGCTAGCTTTAACTCAAACAAAGCCTGTTCTTACCCTCGACTTGGTGTATTACTTGCTGTCCTCCAACGGAGACGTTGTGACCTTGGATATTCATCTGAGAGATTGTGAATTTCTATTCTGTATACAAACTCCTATTTCATGTGACAAGAAGACTTGTTTTCGATCCCTGAGTTATAAGCAGATCATTTCACGAATGAAACATAGTGATGTTGTTGTTACTGTTGACGGCTGCTCAGTGACTATTTTCTAACCGCGTCCAAAGTTAAAAGCGACCTGAAGGCTTCGTGGTGTAAGCGTTCCCTCTGTTGTGAAGTTACCATGGGCAACCGTAATGCTTCAATAGGCCGAGGCCCTTTTGAGCGCTTACTTAGCGCTCTCCACGGACGTTCGGGTGCAATCGAACGATGTGTCAACTGCCGCCGGTAGAGGGCGCAGTTTTCAAAATGGCGTCAAAGACTGATTTTAGCAATATTGTTGAACATTGTGTCTGTTAAGTTTTATAGTTTAGAATAAAGATACAATAAACATACCATTTATTAGAGGGTCACCGATTAGACAACACAACTTTATTTTATGGCATTATCGTGATATACGTCGGACCCAACTCATGTAATCCTACCGACTTGTTTAACATTGGAAAATCAAAATATAGAGTGTGATTGTGTTGATTCGCCGCTGATTGCATACAGCCTATTGTCAGTGACACTTGACACTGACTGAGATTTCTCAGTTTGCTGTAAAGTCACTTAGAAGTAGTAGATGGGCTTGTCGGGGATCAGATATCAGTTCGCTATATCCGTTAGTTCGCTGTACAGCGTTCGTTATGTACGTAAGTTTTATATGATAATATAGAGGAGATAAATCGTTGATTTTGTAACAGTTCGTTGTATCCGTTTGTATGCATGTTGTAAGATTCAACTAAATGGATCGGTGACTTGGTGGATTGTGTTCCATTGTACCCTGACATGTGTAGCAAAAATGCCAAGCATTAATTTCGTTTGGCTTTCGCGTTATTGTTGTGTATAATATGACATGTTGTACGTGAGTAGTATATAACGGGTCGCCAGAAACCCTTTTTGGTTGATCCGGTTGATCCAGGCGGATGCGAAGGTGATTGGCTGATCCAAGTCACGTGATCGGAAAGGATGACTCATGCATTTACAGCGCGTCGGGAAAGGGCGGGGAATGAAAGGTGTGTGTGTTTATAAGGCAGAAAAGAATTCGTAAGTAAACAAAAGTAAAGGGTTATGAATAGAGCTATGTGTATGGCGTGCTGCCCTGAATAGACAAGCAGCCCAGTTTGAATTGAGCGCGCTTCAAATTGTTTATTGGTAATAATGGTTTCGTTTATTTCAGGTGTTAGTAGAAATTACAATTAGTGTACAACTCACGTAGTCGTTTCAAATTGACCGTGCTCGCTAGAGCGTGCGAGCTGGTTTGATGAATGCAGGGTGTGTGTTAAAAGTACAATCATACCGCAATAGAGACGGGTTGTGTCAACATGATATATACGCCGGGTAACGTAGGGGAAAATAAATGTACGTTTAGCTGGATCAAATCCATCTTGTACGGTTTACACGTTGTACACCATGAACGTTAGATAACCTGTATAGAACAAAAATACAGACGAAATAGATAAGGCTACGCAATCAGCAATCTAGCAGTGTAGTTTACATTTAGCACGCAAGAACGAGCTAATGTATAGCAAAGAGACTAAGCGACCGACCTCCCATAACAATGTCAACATACCCCGGCCTTACAATTAATGTTAACATAACAGCCTCGCCTGAAGCTTCCCATTCATAAATTGTGTGACCAGTGTCCCGTATTTATGACATGTTAGGGAACATGTGTTGTACATTTGTTATTTTAAAAGGGAGTTATTTCAGAGAGAATATATATATGGGTATTCCCCTCATTAAACCTTTCTTTCGTTGGTGTCTATTAAACGTATCCGGTATTTAATACATTTGTATGATGTAGGAAAGTTTGTGCGTGTAGATGTTGTACCTATATCCGAACACGAATGTATGACACCTTTCAATAGATCAATTACGGTTCTAACCACGACACGCAACATGACTATGTGCGTGGTTAGCAGTTCATATTTATAAACACATCGTAAATGACAGATTTCTGATGAATGAACTCGCCCGCACACATGTCTATAGGGTTATGTTCGCCCGAACTGTAAACAGTGACACATTGATAACAGGAAGGGTGTGTGGAATGCACTCGTCCTTGTTAGGGTAAATACGCGTTTAAACTCAACATTTAAATGATGACATTACTTTTTAGATGTATTGGTATCAGTGAGTGAGTGAATTTAGCTTTACGCCACACTCGGCATTATTCCAGCTCTAGGGCGGTGGTCTGTCAATAAACGAGCTTGGACCAGACAATCCAGTGATCAACAGCATGAGCAGCGATCTGTGCAACTAGGAACCGATGGCACGTGTCATCCGAGTCGGCGAGACTGACCAATGGATCCCCGTCAGTCGCCGATAAGCATGGGTAACTGCAGGTCGATACTATAACCCGGGACCTTCACGGGTGTAGTATGACGAAGACTTTATACTAATATGCAAATAAAACTGAGAAAAAACGAACAATTCATTCGTATCATTTATTGATTAGAGTCAATCGGTTCCATACAAAGCCGTGATATACGAATGGACAATAGTATTCACTCTGGAACATTATTTAGTCACTCATATACACATGCTACTGCTGCTCGAAGGCCCTTTTGTTTAAACAGCGAGTCCATGTTTTGAAACACATTTCGCACTGTTGAATGTTTTAAGGTTGAATGTTTGTCTATAGTCTATGCTTTATCCATTGCTTGTAACGATTTCCGTCCAGGAGGTCCCAGTTTCACCATTCCTCTCACGTAGAGGGAAATTCGGCGTTTCTTATCGTTCGAACGCCTCAGTTAACGAGGTGTTTTCAAAATATGAATCAAACTAGAGGCGTGGCGTCGACTCGGAATTCTCTTCTGACTGTTAGACTGTTATAGTAGTGATGGGTATTTATGCCTAATCTTTCTGCTCACGATCATCATCATCCTCCTCGTCATCCTCTGCAACGCTATCAGATTCAGTCTCACTTTCTATTTCCGGCATATCCATCAAAGGCAGGATCTCTTTCATCTTGGGTTTTAGGAGGAGTTTGATTTTATTTTTGAGAACGGATTGTTCCGTGGAAGGATTCATGTCTCCCAGGTTGTATAGCATGTTATAGTATAGTCTCAGTCCGCAGGAACCCTTTTGGGTTGAGGGAGGTTGAGTGAAAATGAAATATGACAACCACGTCCTTACAACAACACCTGACTTAACCCTTATGTTTATTCTTATGTATGGGTAATGCAAAATGTGCAACATGAATGATACCGGTGTTAAATATCACTGTATGTCCATCCTCGGATTTTCTCCATATAACACAAAGAAATCAACTCATTCAGAGTCTGTTCTATGGCTAACCTCAACGACATCCCTGTCACACTTTATTATTTGGTCGGAATCGTACAATGGTTGGTTGGTTTCTTGTTTAACGCTGCACTCAGCAATATTCCAGCTATATGACGGCGGTCTGTAAAAAATCGAGTCTGGAGCAGACAATACAGTGATTGATATCATGAGCATCGATCCACGCAATTGAGATCGATGACATGCATCAACCAAGTGAGCCAACCAAGACCCGATCCCGTTAGTCGCCTTTTACGACAAGCATAGTCGCCTTTTACGGCAAGCATGGGTTGCTGAAGACCTATTCTACCCCGGAATCTTTACGGGTTTCGTACAATGGACTTCTAGCAGAGGAAAGGACTTTGTCACGTTTCTTTAAACCTTTAACACCAGCGGAATCCAGGCACTCCAGCATCGTTGGCGGACCTCGTTAGTATGGACCTCGTTAGGATTCTGTTGAACAATAGTCAGGCTAAGAACTTTTCAGCAACCCCTCGAAGTATGTTCCCGTCCAGCCATGCAACCTTCAACAACACCCAGACACTAACCTCCACACCGTCCTCTCCCCTTCATCAGGAATTTCAATGGACATTGCATGCGATCTAAATTTTCATGATCACTGTGTTACAGCAACGTATTAACTAAACTCAATAAGCGGAAATCAAATCATTCCCGATTAGTTCTACGGCAAGATTCATTGAGCCTACTTTGCAATCGTAAGGCATTCACATTATCAAAGCATAAATCTGAAGGATTTCTTTTCCCATGTCTGCGGGCATTTCATCTTAAGTCACATGAAAGAAACTGGTCTGTATACAAAAATTTAAATATGTATGTGAATAAATACATGCTTGTTTTTTAAATTTGATGTGATGCTATTTTCAACTGTCATTACTGAAGTCTCTGTCCAGGATGTTGAAGTACGGTCAAATTTTTGCCCCCCCCCCCCCCTCCCTGTGTGACACGTTAAATTATCATAATCGATGTAACTATCATCAACCAGTGTTTTAAGCTAACTCATTGCTGAACAATTTTTAATATTGGCTAGTGTTGTGCATAACCACCAGTGGCTAAAGTGATGACGTAAATCCTGCTGGGGTATCTTGCAGGAAGCAGAGGTACTGTAAGTCCCCATGATCCCCAGCGAGGTGGCCTAGCTTTGGTTACTGATGGCCTATAGCCCGTGTTTTAAAACTGTATTGAGGATATTGTTATGTATCTTTGATAAAATGTGTTTTTCAATGTAAATTTGCATTGATGACTCACTTGTGGAAATATCAACTTGGTTTCGTCGCTATATGGCTGAAATAATGCCGATTCAACGTTAAATTTAACTCACTCATTCATTCATTCATTTACCTTACTGTCGGTGCATAATGTCAGATAACACTGTGCTCTGTTAAACTGTTATCGACATGTCTGTCATGTGCATATCATATTTGTTATTGCGCAACAGCAGTGGGTTACACCACGTGACGATCAGGTAGCTTTGCAATATGGTCGTGGTTATATACTTAGTGACTGAGAAGCCGTCAAGACTTAAGGGCAAAGGTTTGATTTATGGACGCGTCTCATTGCAGTATCGTTATAAACGTGTAAACGTGACCAGTTGCTTGTACGCAACAACAGTGGATTTCAACATGTCAACTGCCATAAATCTTCGAACTGATTGCTTCCGTGGGTCCTGTAGTGACGCTATCTCTAAATACTGTTTACACAGTTCCCCACTTCACATCAGCGGGAACGCTAACACCACGAAGCCTTCAGGTCGCTTTGAACTTTGGACGCGGTTAGAACATAGTCACTGAGCAGCCGTCAACAGTAACAACAACATCACTATGTTTCATTCGTGAAATGTTCTGCTTATAACTCAGGGATCGAAAACAAGTCTTCTTGAAATAGGAGTTTGTATACAGAATAGAAATTCACAATCTCTCAGATGAATATCCAAGGTCACAACGTCTCCGTTGGAGGACAGCAAGTAATACACCAAGTCGAGGGTAAGAACAGGCTTTGTTTGAGTTAAAGCTAACACATTAAATTACGGTTATTGTGCGAATTGCTTAGATTCACTCTGGTAGTTGATGAGTTTTCAGCATGGCGACAGTTTCTTCAATGCTACAACATTCAAGAAGCAATGACAAAAATTCGAGGATACCCTCATCTTTCCGCGAACACCTGGTATCATCACTATTTCATAGTGATTCATAAACACATGCTCGTGACATAGTCGATTAGCAAAATGGCTTTTAACAGTCTTGGGGCGGTCGGGTAGCCTAGTGGTTAAAGCGTTCGCTCGTCACGCCGAAGACCCGGGTTCGATTCCCGACATGGGTACAATGTGTGAAGCCCATTTCTGGTGTCACCCGCCGTGATATTGCTGGCACATTGCTCACTCACTCACTTTTAACAGAATTCTGATTATGGAAATGGTCTTTGTTGCTTTCATTCATGCAACTGACTTTTGGATACGTATGTGTAGCATTAATGTCAAGCATTAATTCGTTTGGCTTTCACGTTATTGTTGTGTATAATATGACATGTTGTACGTGATCAAATCTTCGATTCGCGCTCACGTTAGGTATGGATCTAACAATGATGAACATTTGAATACACCGAATTAACATATTCAACTATAGCCAGACGATACAGGTAAAAAACAGATATATATTATACTTAATATAAATACGACACAGAAATGTTGCTCAACGAGGCACGCTATAAAGCTTCAGTACATATTATGTTAACGTGGTGAGTGAATTCAATGAGATCCTTATGTCACAGTGACACGTCATTCAGCAGTTTGTTTACCCACACGTCTCGTTGTGCACAGCCTATTGATAATAGAGCTTTAGCTAGCAGTTCAACTTCAGCTGGGTGTCAGAGATATGTGCAGCTAAAACTTGATTCGAAAGACATATGCCTGGTGTGCTTTGAACTGAAAGTGTCATAGCGGTGGTTAACGGTTAGCATTTAAGTATATTACTATCTTCGGCCGTATTGGCAGTAAAGCGACTTGTGCGTATGATACAATGGATAAACAACTAAATATGCTTCCTGCTTACTAAACCTCATTTTGAGATCCAGTCTGTACTGCCTGACGTCGGACATGCTACCGTTTTAACTAACGTCGGCCAAGCCATGAGAACAAAATATACATTCATACATCTAATTTATAAGAGGCGACACTGTTCGTTCTAGTGGTAAGACTTGGTTAATACATATTATAGTATTTCAAATATGAAGATCGATGCTCATGATGACAATCACTGGAATGTCTTGTCCAGATTCGATTACTTACACACCGTCATATAGCAGGAATAGAACTGAGTGCGGTGTTAAACAACACGCACGCACGCACGCACGCACGCACGCACGCACGCACGCACGCACGCACGCACTCACTCACTCTTTCGCCCACACATTCACCATTGACATAATTTACTTATGTTTTTTATGTCTTTATTTGATTTCAGCGACAAACCAAGTGTGTTTTCAGATCGGATATTTAATACGTACAACTTTCAAGATGAGGTTTCAAATTAGAACAATTTACAGGTTTTGAAACAGAAAAAAATATCACAAGTTCCAAATTTAGAAATAAAATAAAACACACATTTTCTTTATCTCCCAGGAAAAAGAAGTAGAATATAAATTGTTTGGAAAGAACTTCAGGACTGGGTAGACAAATAATAAGCTTCACACATTGTTGACAAATCCCCCCGCCCCAGCACGCTTGTCATAGAGAGAATAATCAGTCATCGTATCCTATAACGTGGTTGTTTGATCAGGTTTTCGATTTGCCGGTTTGTGTGGTCCAGATTCGAACATTCCGAAACGTCAAACAACATTCACCCAGTCATTGAATAAAATGTTTCAGGTGGACCAGAAGGACGCGATGACGAGGAAGAAGGGAACGTGTGTGTCGGTGGAACCCAGGTCATACATAAATATGCTTCACCTGCAAATGGTAAGATCTGATCTTTGCCAAAACTGATTCAAACTATGTGAATGTGTGGATAAGATAACTTTGCGTGTGTATGCCTTCATAATTAACAGTAATTATACATATACATTGTACGTAAGGCCTCGTGAAGATCCGGTAAAATTTGTGTTTTACAACGCTTGTCGTGAGAGGTTAATGGCGTGATGAGGTGATCGGCACCGCTGTCTTGGAAGATGCATGTCATCGTACCTCTATGATGTTCGCCCTTTTCACTCATTGGCCATGAATCGTTAAGGTCGTTTTTACTTGACGCCATAGCAAAAAACAAAGACTATTGTGGAACTAAGCGTTGTGAAGTTGAAGAAAAGGACTAGAGAGAGCAATATTTCATTCTAGCAAGGACTGAAATTCCAGCAAATTCTACACATTTCATATTTGTTGTTTGTTTGATGCCGCGCGCAGCAAATTGTAGCTGTGTCGTTGGCCTGTAAATAATCGACCCTGGACCAGGTAATCCAGTGATTGATACAGTGGATAGCTGTTGGTGCCAGGGTACGATGACCCGTACATGACCAAGTCAATGACCCTGACCACCCGATTCAGTTGATCGCCTCTTTGGACCAGCATAGTTTACTGGAATCCTATTCTAACTTGGAATCCCAAGGGGCTATATAAGGACAATAAGGGAATAATTGGCCCAGGGATCTAAGGCGCCACAGTTAGTTAAGTTTGCTGCTGTCAGACTAAAATATGGTATCTCTTGAAATGAAATTGAACAAATATCACGTCTATTAATTTCCTAGAAAATAGATACGTTATATATGTCAATCGTTAAGCATGGGTGGCTGTCCAAATAATGCAAACCACCTTTCTACTTTGAAACAGCTTTTTTTAACTTTCCAAATCATGACTCAGAAATGAACGCCATCGATGGCAAAAGTCATAAGCTGATCATTATGATCAAATAGTTAAAATAAGGACAGTGGTACAAAATGTAAAATTATAGTACACAAGGTGCTACTGTTTACACCGTTATCATTATAGCATCACTTCATCTTATTGCAGAATGGGACAGTGAAGTTAACAGGCACATTCAACATAAGGTCTGGACTACTGTGTGCTCTGTGGTAAAAGAACACGTCCTGAAACACCCAGTTACCATCATCATAGGAAGCCCTGGCGAGGGAAAGACGACAACAGGATATATGGTAATGGAAGACTTCTTGAAAAAAAGATGGCACACGTTCATTCCAAAAACGCCACAAGAATATTTTTCTCACAAGATGGTAGGAAGGACGATTGTTTTGTTGAATGATATTTTCGGGGTATTTGAATATGATGAGTTTGGTTTGAAAGGATGGCTTCGAGCTTTTGATGACATAAGATCCCATGATATCAAAAGCTCTGAAGTTAATGCAGTGGAAACAAACAGTGTGAAGTACATCATTGTAAGCAGAGACTATATATGGAGAGAAGCAGAGTACAAATTAGGAAAGTTCATCAACAATATTTTCCAGAAGGTCAATATTATTGATATCAATTCTTCTGTTGAAGCTAAGCTAAAGCTTGATGATAAGCTCCAAATCATTAATGCCATGACAAGCAAATATGGCGTAGAGCTTTCGAAAGATGCCATTGAAAGAATTGTCACTGTACCAAGTCTGCATGGTTTTCCACATTGTGCAGAACTGATGTTTACCCTGCAAGAAACGATAGAGGACGCCGAGGCATTTATGAGAGAGCCACTCATCTTCCTGAAGGAGACAATCAAACAGTTGTGTGATGATGCTGTAAAACGCCACGTCTTTTGTCTACTTCTTAAACAGGGAGGGGACATGCTACTTTATAAGACAACAGAACAGTTACAAGATGCTGGAAAGGGTTTGTTTCCTGATCACATGATGGGTGTCGTTGATGTTCATGCTTTCCAGAGGACATGTAAGGTGTTGGAAGGACCGTATCTTCAGAGAGAGGAAGACAGGATAAAGTTTTCCCACCCTTCAGTACTTCATAGTGTAGCTGTGAATCTTGGATGTGACTACCCTGAGTTGTTAATTAAACACTGCGACATGAGCGTGTTGAAGGACATCCTCAGACATGGAAATGAGCCTGATGAGAAGCATGTGGATGTCACGGACACCATTCTGCCCATTGTCATTGATAGATTTGCAAAGGAGCTTTCCCAGGGAAGCATGAAACAAGTGCTCTCTCATGTCCTTCTGCAGTGGGAGGAGTTTGTAGTGAATTTGCTCGATTGTTCCGAGATCCCGAACGATTTGCCAGAGCTGGTTGATGCAGCCACAGGAGAGTCCTGCTTGTATCTGGCATCTAGCAACAAGAAAAATGTGTTTTTAAAAGCGCTTCTGAGAAGGTTCCGTATATCTGAAGTTAACTTGGTAAATGCTTTGTTTGGTTGCTGTGAGTTTGGAAACAGCAATGGAGCTAGTTATCTCCTTTCATCGAACCAGAACAATTTATCAAATGTAAGGAATAACAAAGGTGAAACATTTCTTATAGCTGCTGCCAGGAATAGACACACTGACGTATGCAGGGTAGTCCTTACTTATCAAAGCATAGATTGGAGGAACTTACATGGAGACAGTGCTATGCATCTAGCTGCAGAACAAGGCAATACTGAACTCATAAAGCTATTGATAGATCGCGTTAATGATGTGGATCAGAACAATAATAAGATGGAAACAGCCCTTCATAAAGCATTACTTGGTGGACATCTTGCGACGTCAAAGGATCTTCTGCGAAAGGGGGCTGATTTTACTAAGACAGAGTCAATGGGACTGACGGCACTTCATTGTGCTTGTTACACAGGTTTATCTGAAATTGTTGAGATTCTGGTGGAGAAAGGGTGCAACCTCAGTGCAAAAGACAAACGTGGAAGTCATGCAATCCATAAAGCTGCTGAAAGAGGACATACTGAAGTAGTAGAATTTCTGCACAAAACTGGGTGTAGTGTGCACACATCTAACAATGCTGGTGTCACTTGTCTACACTTGGCAAGTTATAATGGTCACATTGATACTGTCAAATGTCTTCTGAGGTTAGGCTGTGATATCGATGCCAGAAGTCGGATTGGATATACACCACTAATGCACGCAGCAGCTGGAAGCCAGTTGGAAGTGCTTGAAACCTTAGTGGACCAGGGAGCAGATATCAATGCTGTGGACATATTAGGGCATACTCCATTCATCATATCCATTTATTTGTTTTGTCCAGATGCAGCTTTGTTTCTGCTTCACAGGGGTGCAGATACAAGTCTCAAAATGGATCTGTCATTTTCAAAGGGTCTTGAATTTCTTCAGTTGGTATCTCCAGACGGAAGATTTAGAAATGTAGTACTCTGCCTCCTTCAGATCAGCAAAATGATGGAACGGTTTCTTCCACAAACTACAATGTCAGCCCTTGTGCTCAGTGTGTTAACAGGTCAAAAGAACATTATGGTTAATATTCTAGGTCAAGGAGAGGATCCATTTGTTACAATTTTGGGTGGAAACCTTCTCCACTTTTGCTGTGAAATCCCAAACAGGGTCGACGTGACCTATCGCCTTACCATGGGCACGCTTAGTCTTCTATCTCTGGGTTGGCCTAAAGTGCCCATTACAACCATTTTGAAACCCTTATGTGCTCCTGATGTTGCTGAGGAACTTATTCAAAGGGGAGTCGATGTCAACGCATTTAATAGTGATGGTTTTGCTCCTTTGCATCTTGCAGCTGAAAATGGCTATGTTGGTATGTTGAAAGTATTACTGGACAGTAACAATTGTTTCATCAATCCAAGATCTCACAAGGATAGGTCAACTCCTTTACATGTGGCCGTGAAAAGCAATCACACAGATGCAGTAAAACTGCTGTTGAGGCATGAGTGTGATGTAAACAGCAAGGATGTTGCAGGTAGAAGTCCAGTACATTTGGCTTGTGAGACAGGCAACACCACTGTTCTGAAAGACCTTCTGTCCAAAGGAGGTGATGCAAATATTCAGGATCAGAAAGGCAATACACCTCTTCACTATGCAGCCTGGCGAGGTCGCCGTTCCTGTGCACTGTATCTGATGAATACTGCGAATCTCTTGGACATGCAGAACAGGTATTCATTCAGAGCAGTAGACTATGCCTATGCACGCTGCAACATTCCCACAGGCAAGGTTCTTGAGGAGCATTTCCCTCCACTGAGTCGTGTCAGACGGTGTAAACTTCAAATACTGAGAGTTGTGTGTGCGAACCCCATTGTTGATTTCATCTTGAACAACCCCCTGAAGACAATATGTATAATACTACTTGTATCATCAATCATAGGTCTTGTACTGTTGCTGTAACAAACATTCTCGGATATAATACCACCAAGTCGTCGCATTCTCAGCATGAGACAGATCTTTGAAGGAGCACCCAGGCTAATCTGATAACCAAAGTGTTATGATGATTATCAGAGAGAAGAACCTGTGACGTTTCATCATAACGAATGTTCCCGGGATCTAGTCTGCCAAGACAGCAGAAGGTCTGTGGTTCGATCCCCTTAAAGACGTTAAAAGATTGTACTTGTTTTTACCCTGCTTTACGTTCATCCTTAAAGCGACAAAACTAAGGATTGGGCGAGTGAGTATACTGTTTGTATTCATTGTAAACTCTGACATGGTATCCTGAGTTAGATCTTTCAGTATATGTGGTTATTATAGCAAGGTTTGGGGTATAACGAACTTAGTTATGAGGACACTGCTGGGATATCTGGAGTTGACCCTTACCAAAGTCACACAAAAAAAATAATTTAAAAACTATTGAAGGGGGGGGGGGGGGGGGGGGGGGGGGCTGCACTGTATTACTGAATTTAAACAATGACTCATACCTGTTTGCGTTGGCCAAATATATCATAATTTTACGAGCATGTTGTATTGTTAACTTCGGTTCTGTTAAAAAACGATGAGGATGAATATCTTACATGTATCTTTTGTGATGAAAGTTTTTGCTGACAGGCATATTTTGCTTGGCTGCATGAACCATGAAATCGTAAGGGAATCTCATCAACCACACAGCTAAACGATTTATTCCTCCCTGTGAGCCAGCATCTCATCTTGAAATATCTGATAGAAATAGAAAAACAACCTTAAATATGTTTGAATAAATATTCCCTTGTCTTTTGCGTAGTGTTGTACCCCGAAGAAATGTCTGATCCAGACTCGATTGTCATAGATTTAAGGCTTCGGTAAAGCTTTCAGAACATTTCATGGAAGATATGTGGGGACATTTTCAAGTTTGACAAGTTGTTCCTGTATACATTTATATCTTTCTATGTATTGTGACTAAAACAGTGCTGAATAAAGGTGTAGGCATGACTAACATGTTTTCTTTGCTGCATTGTATAAACATTCTATGTGATTCAGTTATAGTCAGAAATGGGACATTGTGTAAACATTCTATGTGATTCAGTTATAGTCAGAAATGGGACATTGTGTAAACATTCTATGTGATTCAGTTATAGTCAGAAATGTGACATTGTATAAACATTCTATGTGATTCAGTTATAGTCAGAAATGTGACATTGTATAAACATTCTATGTGATTCAGTTATAGTCAGAAATGTGACATTGTATAAACATTCTATGTGATTCAGTTATAGTCAGAAATGTGACATTGTATAAACATTCTATGTCATTCAGTTATAGTCAGAAATGTGACATTGTATAAACATTCTATGTGATTCAGTTATAGTCAGAAATGTGACATTGTATAAACATTCTATGTGATTCAGTTATAGTCAGAAATGTGACATTGTGTAAACATTCTATGTCATTCAGTTATAGTCAGAAATGGGACATTGTATAAACATTCTATGTCATTCAGTTATAGTCAGAAATGTGACATTGTATAAACATTCTATGTGATTCAGTTATAGTCAGAAATGTGACATTGTGTAAACATTCTATGTGATTCAGTTATAGTCAGAAATGTGACATTGTATAAACATTCTATGTGATTCAGTTATAGTCAGAAATGTGACATTGTATAAACATTCTATGTGATTCAGTTATAGTCAGAAATGTGACATTGTATAAACATTCTATGTGATTCAGTTATAGTCAGAAATGTGACATTGTGTAAACATTCTATGTCATTCAGTTATAGTCAGAAATGGGACATTGTATAAACATTCTATGTCATTCAGTTATAGTCAGAAATGTGACATTGTGTAAACATTCTATGTGATTCAGTTATAGTCAGAAATGTGACATTGTATAAACACTCTATGTGATTCAGTTATAGTCAGAAATGTGACATTGTATAAACATTCTATGTGATTCAGTTATAGTCAGAAATGTGACATTGTATAAACATTCTATGTCATTCAGTTATAGTCAGAAATGGGACATTGTATAAACACTCTATGTGATTCAGTTATAGTCAGAAATGTGACATTGTATAAACACTCTATGTGATTCAGTTATAGTCAGAAATGTGACATTGTATAAACATTCTATGTGATTCAGTTATAGTCAGAAATGTGACATTGTATAAACATTCTATGTCATTCAGTTATAGTCAGAAATGGGACATTGTATAAACACTCTATGTGATTCAGTTATAGTCAGAAATGGGACATTGTGTAAACATTCTATGTGATTCAGTTATAGTCAGAAATGTGACATTGTATAAACATTCTATGTCATTCAGTTATAGTCAGAAATGTGACATTGTATAAACATTCTATGTCATTCAGTTATAGTCAGAAATGTGACATTGTATAAACATTCTATGTCATTCAGTTATAGTCAGAAATGGGACATTGTATAAACACTCTATGTGATTCAGTTATAGTCAGAAATGGGACATTGTGTAAACATTCTATGTGATTCAGTTATAGTCAGAAATGTGACATTGTATAAACATTCTATGTCATTCAGTTATAGTCAGAAATGTGACATTGTATAAACATTCTATGTGATTCAGTTATAGTCAGAAATGTGACATTGTATAAACATTCTATGTGATTCAGTTATAGTCAGAAATGTGACATTGTATAAACATTCTATGTCATTCAGTTATAGTCAGAAATGGGACATTGTATAAACATTCTATGTCATTCAGTTATAGTCAGAAATGTGACATTGTATAAACATTCTATGTCATTCAGTTATAGTCAGAAATGGGACATTGTGTAAACATTCTATGTGATTCAGTTATAGTCAGAAATGTGACATTGTATAAACATTCTATGTGATTCAGTTATAGTCAGAAATGTGACATTGTATAAACATTCTATGTCATTCAGTTATAGTCAGAAATGTGACATTGTATAAACATTCTATGTCATTCAGTTATAGTCAGAAATGTGACATTGTATAAACACTCTATGTGATTCAGTTATAGTCAGAAATGGGACATTGTGTAAACATTCTATGTGATTCAGTTATAGTCAGAAATGTGACATTGTATAAACATTCTATGTCATTCAGTTATAGTCAGAAATGTGACATTGTATAAACACTCTATGTGATTCAGTTATAGTCAGAAATGTGGCATTGTATAAACATTCTATGTGATTCAGTTATAGTCAGAAATGGGACATTGTGTAAACATTCTATGTGATTCAGTTATAGTCAGAAATGTGACATTGTATAAACATTCTATGTCATTCAGTTATAGTCAGAAATGTGACATTGTATAAACACTCTTTGTGATTCAGTTATAGTCAGAAATGTGACATTGTATAAACATTCTATGTCATTCAGTTATAGTCAGAAATGGGACATTGTATAAACACTCTATGTCATTCAGTTATAGTCAGAAATGGGACATTGTATAAACATTCTATGTGATTCAGTTATAGTCAGAAATGTGACATTGTATAAACATTCTATGTGATTCAGTTATAGTCAGAAATGTGACATTGTATAAACATTCTATGTCATTCAGTTATAGTCAGAAATGGGACATTGTATAAACACTCTATGTGATTCAGTTATAGTCAGAAATGTGGCATTGTATAAACATTCTATGTGATTCAGTTATAGTCAGAAATGGGACATTGTGTAAACATTCTATGTGATTCAGTTATAGTCAGAAATGTGACATTGTATAAACACTCTATGTGATTCAGTTATAGTCAGAAATGTGGCATTGTATAAACATTCTATGTGATTCAGTTATAGTCAGAAATGGGACATTGTGTAAACATTCTATGTGATTCAGTTATAGTCAGAAATGTGACATTGTATAAACATTCTATGTCATTCAGTTATAGTCAGAAATGTGACATTGTATAAACACTCTTTGTGATTCAGTTATAGTCAGAAATGTGACATTGTATAAACATTCTATGTCATTCAGTTATAGTCAGAAATGGGACATTGTATAAACATTCTATGTCATTCAGTTATAGTCAGAAATGTGACATTGTATAAACATTCTATGTCATTCAGTTATAGTCAGAAATGGGACATTGTGTAAACATTCTATGTGATTCAGTTATAGTCAGAAATGTGACATTGTATAAACATTCTATGTGATTCAGTTATAGTCAGAAATGTGACATTGTATAAACATTCTATGTCATTCAGTTATAGTCAGAAATGTGACATTGTATAAACATTCTATGTCATTCAGTTATAGTCAGAAATGTGACATTGTATAAACACTCTATGTGATTCAGTTATAGTCAGAAATGGGACATTGTGTAAACATTCTATGTGATTCAGTTATAGTCAGAAATGTGACATTGTATAAACATTCTATGTCATTCAGTTATAGTCAGAAATGTGACATTGTATAAACACTCTATGTGATTCAGTTATAGTCAGAAATGTGGCATTGTATAAACATTCTATGTGATTCAGTTATAGTCAGAAATGGGACATTGTGTAAACATTCTATGTGATTCAGTTATAGTCAGAAATGTGACATTGTATAAACATTCTATGTCATTCAGTTATAGTCAGAAATGTGACATTGTATAAACACTCTTTGTGATTCAGTTATAGTCAGAAATGTGACATTGTATAAACATTCTATGTCATTCAGTTATAGTCAGAAATGGGACATTGTATAAACACTCTATGTCATTCAGTTATAGTCAGAAATGGGACATTGTATAAACATTCTATGTGATTCAGTTATAGTCAGAAATGTGACATTGTATAAACATTCTATGTGATTCAGTTATAGTCAGAAATGTGACATTGTATAAACATTCTATGTCATTCAGTTATAGTCAGAAATGGGACATTGTATAAACACTCTATGTGATTCAGTTATAGTCAGAAATGGGACATTGTGTAAACATTCTATGTGATTCAGTTATAGTCAGAAATGGGACATTGTATAAACATTCTATGTCATTCAGTTATAGTCAGAAATGTGACATTGTATAAACACTCTATGTGATTCAGTTATAGTCAGAAATGTGGCATTGTATAAACATTCTATGTGATTCAGTTATAGTCAGAAATGGGAGGGGGCACGGGTGGCCCAGTCGTCTAAGGCGCCGCGATTCGCTGTGCAGAGTTGCGTCCCTTGGGCACGCCAGAAACCTATGATTGTGGGTTCGAATCCCGGTTCGCCCCAATTATGTTTCTAGGTTTGTCAGCACCATACCCGTGCTCGTGGGTTTCACCGAAGTGGTAAACGTCTGAGACCTGCATCACTTCGGGCTTTCCTCCCACATTAAGCTGACACGCCGTGATATAACTGGAATACTGTTAAAAGCGGCGTTAAACCCAACTCACTCACTCACTCACTCACTCAGAAATGGGACAT